CCCCCCCCCCCCCCCCCCCCCCCCCCCCCCCCACTCGCCCCTCCCCAGGAGGCCGTCCTGGATTCGCCTATGCATACCGGTATGTGAAACGCAGACGTACGTGAAAGCTGAATTTGAAACCTTGGGCGCTGAATACCATTCAGAAATTTCAACCTCCTAGTTCTCTAGCTTCCGAGTAACTTTTGCGTCAGAACCTTATGATTATACGTGAGTCCTGCTGTTACATAACGTAAAACGCATAAAAACAATGAGACAAGTTTTAAAGCCTTGTCCGCTGCAAGAGGATAGCAGCCACCTTCTTTTTCAGTACATCGTTGTGCTTGACTCTATGCGTACTTTAATGGTCAGACCAATTCGGCTGAAATTTGAATGGACTGGCTCACTAATCTCTGAAATCCCTTGCCATCACTTTTAATCAGTGCTGAATCTTGGATTTTCTTGAGGCGAGGCAAAAACTTAAAACTGTCCTCTCCCCCCTCCCCCCCCCTTTCTCACAGGCGGATACAAGACGGACTCCTGGGGGGAGGGGAAATCCTCTCCCACCCTGTAACCATGCAAAAACTAGGGATAGAATTGTAACACTGCTACTTAAAGTTACTTTAGGTCAATTAGTTTATTTTATGCGTTTTGTGCTGTGTAACAGCAGTACAAAACGCATATTGTTACGGGGCTGTCTGTGTGTGTGTGTGTGTTCGCAGCAACTTGTTCGCAACTTTCAACTCGGGAACCAGGAAAGCTAGAATGCTGAAAATTTAGGGGAACGTTCCCCACCCACGTGTGACCCCTCGAATTTAAATCCGTACCACGGGTAACGCGTACAGCCCCTGTGAAAGTTTTTTACGGGTAAGTTAATATCTCGGGAACCACGGAGTCTAGGAGGCTGAAATTTTTCTGAAAGTTTTTTACGGGTAAGTTAATATCTCGGGAACCACGGAGTCTAGGAGGCTGAAATTTTAGGTTAATTACCCACTGCCCATGCTCAACCTTGCCCATCCAAAACCAGCCTTCCTTTACGCGCGAGTAATACGTACGGCCCCGTGAAATTTTTTTACGGGCAAGTTAATATCTCGGGAACCACGGAGTCTAAGAGGCTGAAGTTTTAGGGTAATGACCCCCTGCCCACCCTCAATCTTGCCCTTTCGAACTCAGCCTTCTCTTACCTGCGGGTAATACGTACGGCTCCGTGAAAGTTTCTCGCGGGTAGGTCCCGGGTAAGTTAATATCTCGGGAACCTCCGAGTCTAGGAAGCTGAAGTTTTAGGCAATGACCCCCTGTCCACTCTCAACCTTGCTCATTCAAATTCAGCCTTCCTTTACCCGCGGGTAACACGTACGGCCCCGTGAAAGTTATTCACGGGTAAGTTAATATCTCGGAAATTCGGGTCTAGGAGGCTGAAATTTAAGACTAATGACCCCCTGCCCACGCTCAACCTTGCCCATTCAAATTTAGCGTTCTCGCGCTTTCGGTTACCACCTACGGCCTCGTGAAAATTTTGGCGGGTAAACTACTAACTCGGGGATCACCGAAAGATATTCATCCTTCAAGGTTTCGAATTCAGCTTTCATACGCTGGTGCGTGAAATTTTTAGCTGTTTTCCAATGTTTGAACTATTTTTGCATAGACTAAAGTACAATTAGCAAGTGAAAATCATTAATAGGCAATCGTTCGATGGGCTGAATTGCACAAAACGCATGATCGCACCGGCTAGTGTGGTGCGCGTTGCCATTTATAGTTTTAGATCCGGGATTTTGCAGCACAGGTGCCTTTGCCTTGAAAGATTCTCTGCTCTTTACCCTTCGCACTCTTAAGTTTATCAAGTTCTACTTTTCTGACCGAGCATATTTAGGTCCGCCGCTGCCGTCGTGAAGGACAAGAAGAAACAACTGAACATTTTTATATTCACATCTTGAACAGGCTGTCTTCCTCCTCTTCGGTTTGTTGCTCTCTGAGGTTGCCGCCCGGGGCAGGGGCTGTGGCTTGCTCTTCTCTAGTCCAGTACTCCCTTCTGCCCCGGTCTCGGGCTTTTACCCTCAGGCATTTTTGCGCTTAGCCTATCTGATGGGACGTTTTCGTTGCGGGGACCCGTGTTTCGTGGGCCGTGAGCGATTTTGCTTCAGAGCGAGTCGGTGTTTTCGCTCGTTGGTCGTGCGCGTGCGTGAGTGTCGGTGCTGGCGCGGTGGTGTTGGTCGGTGGTGCGAGTGGTGGATGCGGTGCTGTTGCCTGGAGGGCGCCTACTCAGCGGTGGACTGCAGTGACATAGCGCGGGTGTGATGTCTGGCGAAGTGGACTGCACGCCGGGTGCTCACGTGAATCCGAACATCTTTCAGCTCGAGAAGAAACCAAAGGTTTGTCCACTTTCTGTTCCTGCCGGAACTGAACGCGTTCCCGTGCGAAAGCGTTTGGAAGGCGTGAAATTTATTACCAAGTACATAGCAACAAATCACGTTTTTCTTTGTCCTGAACTGTTTGTGTATGTGTGCATGTGTGTGTCTGTGTGTATGTATGTGTGTATGCGTTTGTGTGTGTGTGTATGTATGTGTGTGTTTGTGCGTGTATGTGTGTGTATGTGTGTACTTCAACTTGAATCAGAGGTCTCGGGAGCAGCAGCAGCCTGTCTCTTTTGGAGTCAGGGCAGCCCGATAGGTGATGATTGGCCCGGTTTCCACGTCAGCTCAATTCCGGTTGTTTTTAGAATGTGTTATGTCACGAAATTGGCGCCGGCTCGTTGTGCTTGAAGTGCGATTGTCCTGGCCTGGATTTGCACTACTGGAGGTGAGGGCAAATTTCACTGCTTTCTGGCTTCGGAAAGGCGGGGTGAGGGGGGTGGGGGCGCTTGCTTGCTTACATGTGAATTTCTGTTTTGCAGGAAGATGTGCAAGGTGTGCTCGTGCCGCATGGACGATCACGACCTGATTCTGCCAAAGAATATGGATCATGGCCAGATTGTCATAGGTTTGATTCTTTCAGAGATTGTTTCCAGAAATCTGAACTTGTCCCATCTATTTCGTTTACCCTTTTATACCAAAAATTCTAAACTAAACTAAAATAACAACTTATATTTAACAAAAATATAAGCGTATCGTATCCGTTTCTTCCTCCACACC